GGGCGGGCGGGAGGAAGGAGGCTCCGAGGACGAAGGGCGTGGGGGCAACTCCAAAGCCCTTTCTTGGGGCGCCGCCAGTCTGGGCCCCTCGGGCACTAGTTGGGTCTGACTGCGTCTAAGGCCGGCGCCCTCCGTGTCCGGATCCACCTGCACTCGCCCCGCGGCGGCTGTGGGGCCCGCGCAAGGAAGCCGCCAGCGGGTCCCCAGCATTGCTGCAGACACCAGGGCCCGCCGCGCACAAGAGCCCCCCGTGTCTGAGGCTCCCCGGCCTCTCGCTCGGAGGAGGCAGGAGTCGGGGGCTGGGGCCGCTGCAGCGTCGTGAGCGAAGGGACAGCCCACGGGGGCTTGCGGGGGGCTCGGGGCTCTGCAGGGGACAGCAGGGACGCAGGCTGCGGTGAGTTGGGTCCTGTGTGCCGGCCCCACTGGGGAGCAGCTGAGTCCTGCTCTCCAGCCCCCCGCCTGGGGCGCCCTCAGAAGCAGCCTCACCACTCGGGACCAGCAGGCCCATCAAAATGAGTGGGTCACCAGTCCCTGCACCTCCCTCACCCCCAGCCACCCCGCACCCCCAGAACCCCTGAGCACCCCCAGCATGCCCCAGCACTCCCGAGCCCCCCTCAGCACTTCCCAGACAGCATCCTGCCACACCCCAGAACCCTCCAAGCCCCCCAGAGCCTCCCAGAGGTGCTCAGCACCCCCGAGTGCCCAGTCCTGGGGGTGGGGGGGGCTTCGCCTGGGCCTCCCCAAAGGCACACGGGCATGTCCTGGTTCTCCCGGTGTCCCCAGACGTCCCCGTCACAAGAGTCTGTTCCCGCAGTAACAGACCTGGGGACGGCACCGCTGACGACTAATCACTCGCCGTAAATGTTTTATTGGCCGTAACCCGTGTTATCAGAATCCGCGTCAACACCGAGGCCACAATCACTCCCGGAGCAGAGACGCCCCGTGTTCCCCAGTGACCTCGCCATGGCCGGGGGGTCCCCAGGAGCCGCAGGGACAGGCTCGAGCTTCCCGACCCGCATTTTCTCAGTTGGTAAAACCAGCAGCCGGGCAGGGACGAGCTGTCCGCGCCCCTCTCCTGCCCCGCAGGCCCTCAGCTCCCTCCGACGGCGGGACCAGCCTCCCAGGCCCCTCCCGCGCCCCCCTCCGGAGCCCGCCGGAACCGGGGCGCTGAAGCCCGAGGGAGACCCCGGCCCAGACCGTTCTCCGCTCCCCCTCAGGAAAGGAGCCCCAATAAACGGGAAACGCAGGCTGAGGCCGCGTCTTCCCAAGGGAGCCAGGACGAGACTCCCGGGGCCTGAGGAGCACAGCGGACAGAATGCCCGGGAGGGGCTTAGGGGGGCGCAGCCGGGGCGTCTCCTGGGCCCCCAAGGCCCTGCTGTCACACGGCGGCCTTGCACAGACCAGGGGCAGAGAAGGCCGCAGCTGGACAAGCGGCAGGAGGGACACCCCGGCCACCCCCAGACACCCGGCCCCCGGGGTCACCCGGAAAGGCCACTGGTTCACCCCTGGGCCCGCGGCCGCCCAGCACAGAAGGACCCAGCGCCCGCTGCACAGATGGCGGCCGGAAGGGCTGCCTGACTCGCTCTGAACCCGCTTCCCCGGACCCTGTGCTCCGCCAGGGCACGCCCCGCCGGGCACGGGGGACAAGCCACGGCCCACACGCGCCGGCGCCCCTCCCGGCCCTGCCCGGCTCCCCCGCGGGGCGCGGGACTGTGTGTGGGCGCTGGCCGCGGGCTGGCTGTCGGGAGGAGCCCTTTTGTGGGCCCAGTCCCCCAGGACGGGGCCTGGAGCCGGCGGCCGTCGCCCTCAGATGTCACGTCTCGCCGCCCCGGTCTCCAGACATGAAACGGCCTCACGCCCACCGCCGGCGCGAGCGTGTGAAATCCTCCTGGCCCGGCCTTTGAAGCAGGAAGTGCTGAGTAAGAGTCCCGGGCGGGAAGGGAAGCGAAGCCTCCGAGGGAGAGGGGCCCAGCGCCCCGCCCCGCGATCGCCCACACCATCGCCCGCCTCGCGCGACAAGCGGTGGCGGGGTCCTCTGCGCGGGTAGTGGCCGGACCCAGCGGGAGTCGGGATTATTCTCCCGGGACACGAACCAGCGGGGCAGACGGGGGGAGCCCTGCAGGCGTGACGTGGAGGCGGGCGAGACTCCCCCGTGTGCAGGGCAGGCGGGCGGAGGCCCCGGGGCAGCCTTGGCCGGCAGGTCCCTCTTCCTCCAGGGAGGCCGTCGACCGACTAGACGGGGCCCACCACGGGCGTCAGCTACCGCTGTACCCTGAGTCCACAGAGCTGCTGGGAGGGCGGGCAGCTCGGCCCGGGGACGCGTGTGCCCACGCCCCGCGCCAGCGCTCGGCTGCGGAGGCCAAGCGGGGCCTGGCGGGGCCTTCTCCTCGCCCGCTGCCTTCTTTTAAGCCCCAAATCACGTTCCCTCCCGGGAAAGACGGCTCCGCCAGCGTGACCCACAGGGGCGGTCTGGTGGCGCCCCCTGGTGGCGCCTCAGGACATCACCCATTCCCGCCCTCGGCCAGCAGGTCCAGCAGCAGGTCCAGCAGCAGGTCCAGGCAGGCGCCCCGCTGGCAAGCGGCCGGGAGACTGGCCCGGCCCTCGCGCGGCTCCCAGAAACAACCAGACGCTGCCGGCCGGGAGTGGCGCTGAGCTCTGAGCGGCAAGTGCTCACGGGCACAGCCGTCCGGGACCACGGGTCGCCCGGGGAGCCCAGCCCCGCGGTCAGGAGGGAAAGGAGCGGGGCCCGCGGACGCTGGGGTTCTTCCGCGCCTGCTCCTTTTTCTCTGCTCCCCCAATTTTGAGCCGACCAGATACTTCACAGAACCCACGTCTTTAAAAATGCCAACGAGGCAGGCCCAGTTCCCCGGGAGGGGGGCCGGACGGAGGGCAGGGCCTGAGCCCGAGTGACACAGTCGGGGACGGCGAGGCCGTGGGCAGCAGCAGAGCGGGGGAAGAGGGCGCCTTCCGGGGGGGCAGGAGGAGCAGACGGGTAATGACAGGGCCGCGCGCTTTCCAAGGCGCTTGTTAAACTCGGTTACGACTGTTACTAGTCCGCAGGGGGCCTTCCGGAAGGGACGCGGGGCCCTGGGCCTGCTGAGTCAGGGAGGAAGCCGGGAGGGGGGACTCCATCACAGGCGCTGCCTCAGAGTCCAAAACAGCCAGGACGACGCAGAAAACGTTCTTTATTGGGGTGGCAGAGTCCCCCTCTTGTGACCGTGGCCCGCGCGCCCGCTCTCGGCGCCCAGGGAGGCGGGGGGGCTGGACAGGGCTCTCCCACCCGGCCGCCCCGAGACAGGCCCGCAGCACGGGCAGCCGGGGCCGCCCAGGGGGCCGCGCACTGGCCACGTGAGCCAGGTCTGAGGTCGGGGAGCAGCTCAAGCGCCATCAAGGAGCCCTCCCTGCACACGTGGCCGACACGTCCCCTCCAGCTCCCCATAAAACTGACGTCTCCCCGGGACCCGGGTCCTCCTGCTCGTCACAGAATCCGTCGCGCCTGTTTATTACTCCTCAGAAGCAGCGAGACGGCTGCTCGGGGCCAGCCTCCTCGCCCCGAGAACCTGCCCCGCGACGCCCTCGGCCTGGCCCCGGGGACAGGCTGGCACGTCCCGGCTCAACCACAATCGTGAAAAGACACGAAGCCCCAGGGATAAATACAAGAGCAGCAAGATCCCAGCTGAGAAAACCCGCGCGACCCCCCAGGCCGCGGTAAAGCCACGGGAGCAGACCGAGCCGCGATGGGGGACTGGGGGAGCATGAGGAGTGTGGGCCCCCACCCCGGCTGCCACGGCCCCTCTCCACCAGCAGGGGGTGCCACCCCGGCTTCTGGGGAAGGCAGTCCCCGCAGGCGAGCCGCACCCAGGCGGTGGGGACCCAGAGCCGCGCGCCCCAGATCCACCTGGCTCCCAGGTGGGCGGCTGGGGACCCTCCTCCGCCCGCATCGGCCTGCACACTTCCCCGCGGGGGACCCCTCGGGCCCCTGGGGGTGTGGGCGCAGCTCCCCCACCCTGGCCGGGGCACCCTGGCCGGGGCCTTCTCCCTGCTCCCCCTCAGGCTGGGTCGGGATCCCGCTCCCCCACAGGGAGGGCGGCCCCGAGAGGACTGGGAGGAAGCGGCGCCGGGGCCTCTGAGGGCCCCAAGGGCGGGGCCGGGCGGGGAGCGTGGGGGCGACTCCCCCGAGCAGCACAAACCCCGCTCCTGCGGGGCGGGCGTCCGCTTAGAATGGGCGCGGAGGCCGCGCTGGAGGGGGGGCTCATGGTGGGTGGGGGGGCGGTGCCCTTGCCGGGAGGGTGGGGACGGGGACCTGTTCCTGACTCCCGGCTCGCATCCCCAGCCACGGTCCCGGGAAGGGCCCCCCAGCAGCTGTGTCAGCGATGCCCTCTGTTGCTGCTCCCCGGAACCGGGCTGCCAACCTCAGGCCCCCACCAGGGGCTGCCCCGCTCCCCATGGCCCCCCCTTTCCCTGAGCTAGGTAGCCCAGCACACCCCCCTCCCAGGGAGACCCCACGGGGTGTAAAGGCTCCTCTGCCAAGTGGGCGACGCCTCCGGAGAGCCATAGTGAAGGGGACCCTCCCGCGGGACGGCAGACGCGCAGGGGGGCTGCAGTTTCTTCCCTGCCCGCCCGGCTGAGGGGTGCCCGGGAGGGGGGAGGGGTCTGCCCCTGGTGCCAATACCCCTAATCCCAGCCCAGGTCCAGGAAGCCATTTCGCGCCTGGCTTTATTCCACGCACTGCGCACGTGGGCCCAGGCCTGCGCCCCAGGGCGCCGCACTCCCAGGAGCACAGGGGCGCCAGCCTCATCCCGGTGGGCAGGACGTGCCCTCCAGGAGACCTGCCCCCAGGCCCAGGCCGGCCTTGGCGCGTCACCCAGTGTGGCCCCAGGTGAGGCCTCTCACGGCGAGCGGATTGTCCCAAGTCGGCGTCCCACCAAGGACCGAAGCCCACGCCGGCCCGACACTCAGGCCCACGCGCTGCCCCGGGGGCGTCCACGTCAGCAAACATGCAGGGCCGGGCGGGCCGGTCACTAGAGCTTTATTACGAGCAGACCCTCCCGGTGCGAGGGACACGCAGAGGGTGGACACGGGGACAGGCCGCCGGGGGCAGGCGAGGGGTGTGGGACGACGGGGGCGGGGGAGACGCGTCGCCCCGCGAATCGGGGAAGGGCTCCGACTCAGTCTCGCGTCAAGCACATAAAACTGCGCTATTTAATGTACTTCTCCATGAACTTCTTGTGGAACTCGGAGCGCAGCGTGTCGTTCACAAACCGCTTGTCCTTCTTCTGGTCGTCGACGCCCTTGGCGCAGTTCTTGAACACCACGTCGTCGTCCCACCTGCGGGAGAGGAGTCAGCGCAGCCTGAGCGCGTGGCAGCCGCGGCTCCCGCCCCCCCTCCCCCCGCAGGCTCTCTGAGAGCACCGTGGGGGCCCGCAGGAGGCCGGGGCTTCGGGACGGGGACACGTGGTCGCCCCGAGCCTTCCCCCGGGGAGCCGGCCGTGCCGTCAGCAGGTGTCATGAGGACGGCCACACGCCGGCTCCCTGGGTCCTCCCGCCCAGGCGGAGCGTGACGGGCACTCCTGACGTGCGCCTCAAGCACCAGCTCGCAGGAGGCTGCGGCTCAGGCACTGCTCTGGGCCCGCGCTCGGCGCACCGTGGCTACGGTCAACAGCGCCTGCCAAGGCCTGCTTCCCTCCGCCTCCGCTATCACGCCAAGATCTGACAGAAAGGTCATCAGGGCGGGCGGGGCTGCAGCGGCTGCCCACCGCGCAGAGCCAGAGCCGGGGCGCGCCCTGCCGTCCCGCGCCCGCACCGCGCAGTACCTTCTTTTGACCTTGAAGTTGGCCTGCGGCTGGGCTGGCCCGGTCAGATTCAGGAGCGGGTTTCCACTGAGGATATTTTCCATTCGAATCCTTTCTTCTTCGGCTTTTTGTTCTTGCTCCTGTCAACGGCAGGGAAGGTTCAAGCGCTCAGGACAGCTGCGCTCGGGCTCCTGAGACAGCGCCAGCTTGCTTAGTTTTTAAAGATTTGTTTATTTATGCACCTAAGAGCTGGGGCGCAGGCCAGAGGCGTGGGGGGTGGGAGGATCCACCAGAGACAGAGTGGGGAACAGAACAGGTGGATCCACTGAAATCCACTGCTGAGGGGAGCAGCGGGGAGACAGGAGAGGTCTGCTGCGCCCTGTGGGTAGCTCCCTGGCCGGGGATTGGCCTCGGGCTGTGGGGTGACAGCCTGAGACGGACCCCGAGGCCACCAGGGAGGCCCCCGAGAGCGCCGGTGTAAGCGACCGGCAGGACTGTGTGAGGGTGGAATAAGCTCAAGGGCGGTGTGTTTTCTGTTTGTTTCTAAGACACACGGGGACACCCTCACTTGTAAATAATGAGGCGTCTTTTGCCCCACGTGTCATCGCACATCACTAGTCTCTTCCGCAACGAACGTCGCATGAGGTGCAAATTTAAAACTTTTCTTTCTGGGGTACATATAACATCGTTAACTTTAAGAGTTACCGATAAACAAATTCATGATTTAAGAACATGCTAACAGCAAAAAGACTCGTGTAGCAAAGCCATGACCCCGGCTTGTAAAGAGGGAGCACAGATCGCGGATTTAAAACGCTGAAGCTGCGGAGCGCGAACGACGGAAACGTGCGTGGCCGTTCCCGGGGACAGGTCAGGAACCAAGAACTGCCTGCAAAGAAGGTAAACGCCCACGAGACATTCCATTCCCTGAACCCCGCTTCCAGGAAGTCACTGCGCCCCCCGGTTTGCCACTTTCTGTCTGTACGCCTTGTGCCCCCTCAGGTACACGCTGCCCTTCTGCACTGGTCTTCCCACAAGCCTCTTTAAATGCCATCCCCCTCGGAGCCAGAATGAAGAATATTAAACGTCTGAAAAATTCCTCGGCCGTCACGTCGAGACCGACCCTGCTCTAGTGCACCAAAGGGACTCCCGCCTCCTGGGCCTGGGGATGGCAGGAACCGAGGGTTTCCAAGATCAAGGGAAAGAGACTTTCTGAAGGTCCAGTGGAAAGAGGCAGTGCCGGCCCCGCAAGGACGGCCAGATGGTGCAGATGGCGCAGGCTACCTGCGCCCCCACCTGCCCCGCCGGGACGGCGGGCGGCGTCTTCACAGGGGCCGACGAAGGAGTGAGGAGACGCGGCTTCCTGGGCAGCAAGGAAGCTCCTCGAGGTCACCGCTCAGACCCCGAGAGCACGAAGCCAGGGGCGGCCGTCACAGCGCAGGGCGCAGCGTCCTGGCAACGGCGCGGCCTCTGAGACCGGGACCCCGGGGCGCGCGAGGCCACGGGCTGGGGTCTCTCTCTGGTCTTGTCCCTGAGCGCCTCCGGCGGGCTGCACGCGCGAATTCCTGGTAAGGCCGGCCGTGGACATGCGCCCGAAGACACGGAGCTGCCGCTCACCCCCTGCCAGCCCACACGTGTCTGTGAAAGACCAGACACGCCCCACAGGACCCCGAGGGCGCGTGTCGAGTGTCACCAGCCTCCAGCTCACCCAACGGCATCGGGCGGCCCGAGCCGAGCGCCCAGAGCCGCCGGGAGCCGGGCAGGAAGCGGCTGCCCAGGTGTGCGCCAGGCGGCGTGACCCCCCCCCATGTGCCCGAACCTGATGAGGATTTTAAACTATTTCCCTTTTCCCAGTCTGAGTCCCAGCGGCCTCGCAGCCTGTGCCAGACCTCACCTCTTCGCTGCAACTCCTGCCGCCCGCCGAGCCAGCCACGCTCTCCCCCAGGCCCGGCCCCGGCCCGGCCCCTCTCGGCACGGGGGCGCCTGGCCGTGAGAAGCGCTGAGCTGCCGTGTGCATCCGGCCCCAGCCGCACCCCGCGGCGCCCCCCTCGGACTCCGCGGCCGCCTCTGACGCGCAGGCGCCAGGCGCGCCCCAGCACACAGCGCGGATCACCCGGCGCGGCGCCGCTGGCTGGGAAAAATGTCCAACGTGACCGGGAGACCGAGGGCGAGGTGGGAACAGCCCGAAAGCGCCGGGGCCGGGCGTCCAGGCGGGGCAGGAACAAAATCAAGTAAATTCTTAGTTCACTTGATTAAAAAAATTTCCCCAGAGCCATACCCTTCCAACGCCACAGGGGTCTCCCTCGCCTGAGAGCCACCCGTCAGGAGCCACGAGGACCCTGCGCAGAATAAAGCGGGGCGCCACACAGAGTCTACACCCGACCACGCAGTGCGGCGCCGCCACCCCCGGGGAAGGACTTCTCTTCAGTAAGGACCGTGGGGACGGCCCGGGCAGTCACACGCCAGAGTCACGTTTACGCCACACATGGAAATTAACTGCCAAGGATTAAAGGCCTGAAACCACAAACTCCCGCAGCCAAACATCGGGGTAAGTGCCATCACCTCAGCCCTGGGGATGATTTTTTGGATTTGACACGAGCAAAAGCAGCCGAAGCAGAACGAGACGAGGGATTACAAGATCACCGGCAAAACGAAAGGGTGAGAAAACATTTCCAAACCCTCTCCCTGATACAGAGTTAACGCCTGCAAAACAAAGACCTTCCCCAGACACCACTGACCGATGAAAGAGTGAGCAGATGCCAACAGACACGTCCCCACGGACACGCCCGCCGCAGCCGCCATGCTGTCACCGCAGAGAAGGGACGGGGGAGCACGACCCCACAACAGCACGCGCGGGGAGGGCAGCCCTGTCCGAGCAGCTGCGGGAGGAGTCAGGCGCCGCAGGGATTAGCCCCAGCAGCCCCATCTCTGGGTATTGACCTGGGGAAGACTAAGCCACCGCCTAAAAAGACACATGGGCTCCCACGTTCACTGCTGCGCTGACCACACAGCCAGGGAGGGCGCCCCCGCGGCACCACCGGCGGGTGCGTGGACACAGAACACGCGCCCACACAAGCCAACTCCCAGCCAGAAAAAGAGAGGAACCCTGGCGACCGGTGGGCCCCGCGGGCGTCACCCTGACGCCCAGTCAGGCAGCGGCACGTCGTTCAGAGACAGACAAACGCCGCGTGATGGCGCTTTTTTGTGGACTCCAAAAAAGTAAAGGAAAAAAAAAAAAAAAGCCAAGCCTGCAGATGCAGCAGACAGACGGGTGGAGGTGGAGTTGGGGGCGGCCGAAATGCACAGGGGGCTCAAAAGGAACCAACGTCCAGTTAGAGTCAGTCAGTCCCGGCCGGGGACGAGCTACCTGGTGACTCTGCGCAGATCTGGAAGGTGCCAGCAGATGCTAAGCGGTCACATCACAAGGACAAATGTTTAACTTGGGGCTACATAGCAGCGGGTATCTCTCCTACCGTCAACACACACCAACACCAAACCATCACGTCGCGCACGTTTCTAACACAGACGTCAACTTGCAGTAAAACTCCCCCCCTTCACGTGAAGAGCCACAGCGCATTACCTTCCTGGCCTGCTCCTCCGCCCTCTCCTTTTTGATCTTCTCCAGCTCCGCGAGGAGGGCCGCAGTGTCATCGTCATCACTCTCGTCCTCAAAATCCTCGTCCTCATCTTCCTCCTAACAGAGTGATGACGCGGGCGGTTGGAGAGAACAGGAAAGAAAAATGTCCTTAAGTGTGATTAAAACCAACAACCAACCAAAAAATAAACAATAAAACCCTTACCAAAAAAGCTCAAGGACACTCACTAAAACGTGAGCCTAACGTCTCCGACGGCACCGACAAAGAGTATAACGAAACAGCTTTCAAATGCAAAGGTCACAGGGAATTCACAGACGTGCGTATTTCTAGAAGCAGGACACCCTGCAGGGCGCCGAGGCACATAACCCACAGGCACCAGGCGCTGGCCAGTGAGTCTGAGCAGCTCAGACTGGCGTGATAGAAGTCAGGGCGGGCCGAGTGCCAGAAGTATCGCCAGACAAGCGGTTAAATCTTACTTAAAATTCAGTGTATTATACTTAATGGCTGAGCTAATTACTTAGGCCCATTGTTAACTCTAGGACTGCTGATTTACCTGCTTGAGGCTCTCCCTAAAAGGCCACTCACTCTTTTCAGCTGTATGCAAAGGACACTAAATCTCCACGTTCACACGCGTGCTCTCCCTAAAAGCCTCCCCTCACTCCCTCTCCGAGCACAGGGGCCACTGTCAAGCGCACTGCAATGGGGAGAGGACTGGGCTCCTGGGGGAGCGATCCCTGCCTTCCGCTCTTGGGGCGCTGACAGAGCACCCAACCCGAAGGCGCCTGTAGAGGAACACAACACGGCAGCCCGTCACCCGGGCTACCATGGGGACACGCCCGGGGAAAGGACACCCTTCAACAGGTCATGTCCTTACTGGGGTTCCAGAGATGAGGTTTGTTAGTGAAGACTGATGAGTCACAAAACAGTACTGTTTGCTTTAAAATCAAACACAAAGTTCAGCAATGATGTCTAAAGTCTGTCTGAAAAACACACAAACAGAAACGACTAAGCATAACACAGACCACTGCTTAAAGCCAAAAGAATACCAAGAAATTCCAAAAACACGACAAAGAAACGACTCTACGACCATGGCAAGAAGAAACAAAACATACATCTGTCAGAGGGTCGTCCGCATCGAGGTTTGCAGCGGGAATCTGGTCTAACCGAGGCTTCTTTGACACCGAAGAGGAGGTTGTATGTTCTGGGGAGAAAGAAACATCATTTACTCACTGAAACAAAGACAGTGTTTCTTACACCACGGTGTGACTGCGGGCCCGCGGAACTCGGGTTACAAGCACATGACAGCAAGGACAAGAGAAGCTCCCCCGCAGATGGCCGCTGGAGCGAATCGAGTCCTGGTCTATACGGGAGCTGCAGGCTCTCCCAGGGAAATCAGGGACTAGCCCTTGCACGCTGGGAATATAGAAAACTATGACAACTGACGCTCCCTGATGCCTTCCAGCAGCGAGGGACAACAGGAGGGCCTCACAGATGCCATGTGGCCTCCAGAAGTAATGGAAACAATGTGTGTCCCCAGATCACTCTGTCCCTTCTAACCCGCAAGCATAAACAGAACAGGTTCAACCATCACCCCTAATCACATAAGGGAGGGTGACAGGACCCAACATTGAAAACAAACAAGCAATCTGGTCTAATGACCACGTGACAGAAAAGCTACGAGCAACATAATTTTATCAGACAGATGTGTGAGGTGGCGCTGGTACCCCGAGTTGGCCGATCTCTGTTCTTCTCTCGTGCGGCGGCTCGCTCTCTCTCCTCCAGCTCCCTCCTGAAGTCACGGTTGCGAACCTCTTCAGGGGCATCCTGAGTGGTTTGTCTAAAACAGAAAGAGCCAGGGCAGAGACGTAACCAAAAGAGCACGTGGTGGCACAACAGGAGACAATTCCCAAGAAGCAAGTGTCCACCCTCCAGCCCCCAAGGGCTGGAGCCTGATCTAACAACAAGCCTACACGGAGTCAGGTTATTTTCCCCCCACCCATCTGCAGGTTGACTCAAAGTGTCTCTACCTTTGGTTCGCAGGCGACTCAGGCCTGCTCACAGCTGCCTAACCTCCCCTGAAGGCCCCGCCCGCAAAGGACACCCTGGCGAGCAGCAAGGGGTTCCGCTTGAGCTCAGGGCTGGCGCAAGCTGGCCGCCTCCGCCCCGGAGACCAGGGAACTCGAGGGACAGCCCCCGGCGAGCCCCCCTCGCCGCCCCGGCATGCAGGCTGCGCCGAGCTCGGCGGCCACGACGAGACGGAAGCCCCCATTACCGGTATTTTATCTTCGTGTGGGAAGGCAGGTCGCGGCTGGAGTACTGCTTGGAGAGCTGGCTCAGGTCCCCTTCGCCTTTCCCGCGGCCCCCTCTCGCGGGCTCGAAGGTCGGCCTCGCCGCGGTCGTCATCCTCAGGCCTGAGGAGAGGCGGCCCCGCGTCAGAGCAGCAGGCGCCGCCGCCTCCCTCCCTGCGAGCCCCGCTCCGGGCTCGCCCACTCACCTCAGCGACGCGGCCGGGGTCCTGGGGCGGGGGCGGCGCGCGGCTACGGCAGGAGCTCCCGCGGCGCCCGGCTCTGGGGCCTCGCGCGGGCCGCGGGCGGCTGCGCTTCGGGGGCAGGGGGTGACTGTGGGGGAGACGTGGCCAGTCAGGGCCGGGCCGCTCGCGGCGCCGCCGGGCGGGTCTCAGGGACCCCCGAGGCCCTCGCCCCGCCGGGCCCCCCGAGCGTGTCCGGCCCGAGCCGCACGGCGGCGCGGGCACCCCCGGACCCCCGGCGGCGCGGGGCGGCTCGGGACTGCGCCGCCCCAGGCCCCGCGGCGAGGACGGGCCCTCCAGGGGGGCGCGCGGCCCGGCGCCACAGCCCGTCCGCGCTGGGCCGGCCGCGGGGCCGCCGCCTCTCGCGGGCAGCGCCGCCGGCCCCGCCTCCCCGCCCCGGCCCGCCCCGGCCCGCCCGGCAGGGAAGGGCGCGCGGTACCGGGCCGCTCCGCTGGCCGAAGTCCGACGCGGCAGCCGCCGAGCTCACACGGACGCCATGGCGGCCCCGCTCCCGGCAGCCTCCGCGCCGACCCGCCCGGACCCGGAAGCGAACCGCGCGCCGTGTGGCCCCGGGCGGCGGCCAATGGGCGGCGGGCGCGCCGGAAGTGGGCGGGACGACGGCCGGGCGGGCCCGGAACTGCCCGGAGGGCGGCGGCCAACGGGCGGCGGGCGCGCCGGAAGTGGGCGGGGCGCGCCGGAAGTGGGCGGGGCGGCCGGGGGCGGGCCCGGGCGGCCCAGGGGGCGGGCGTTTGAAATCCGGCCTCCGCGGCGACCCCGCTTCGCCTCCCCGCGCGCCCGAGGCGGCGCCGCCCGGCTCCGCTCCCCGCGCCCGCCGCGCCGCGCGCCCGGCTGCTCCCGCTCGGGCTTCGGCTGCGGCTGCGGCTGCGGCTCCGGCTCGGCCGGCGGGCGCGCGGGGGCGGGCGGCGGCCGAAGACGGAGCCGGCGCCGGGCGGCCGCGCACGAAGGTACCTCCCGCGGCCCGGGTGCATGTCGCCGGCGCGGGGCCCGGAGCCGCCCGGGCGCGGGCCCGGCGGGGCGCGGGGCGTGTCCAGCCGCCGGCCAAAGCCCCGCGGGGCTCCTCCGGGGGGCCGGACCCTAGAAGGCCGCGGGGAGCAGCTCCCGAGACAGCGGCCCGCGCCCCGCCCCCCCCCGCGGTCAGCTCCGCGGGCGCCGGAGGGGCCTGGCCCCCCTGCTGAGGCCCCGCAGGGGAGAGGAGCCCCCTTCTCCCTGCTCGGGGGCGCCCCACACCCCCTCAGGCCGCCCCGGCACACGCCCGGCCCGCCTCAGCCCCGCACCTGCCCGGCCCCCAGGCGCCTCCCCGGGAAGCCCTCCTGGCCGGCCGCTCTCTCGCCGCCCCTCCTCACCCCACCCCCCGCGCCCCCCTGTGTGTTTTCTCGGCGTCCCCGACGTCGCCCGCGCGCTCTGCCCGTCTGAGGCGGCGCCGGGCGCCGAGGCGGCGAGGGCCGGGCCTGCGGGAGCAGCTCCAGCCGCAGCCCCGGCCCTCCCGGCCGCCGGCCCGGCCTCAGCGCCCCTCTCTGGCCCTCAGTGTCCTCGTGCATGAAATGGGGCCGATTCTAGGGTCCACCTCCTCCTGCTCTAACGCTAAAGCGGATGATGCTTGTGAAGTGCTTAGGACTGAGTGACAGTGCTTGCTAAATAAATGCCGGGTGTTATGATTAATACTCTCTTTATTGTTGTCTATCTTCCTGTACTAGAACGTAAGTTCCAGGAAAGCAGGAACCTTGTCTCTTGCTCACTGGCGTGCCCCCTGCATGTAGAACAGTGCCCGGCACGCCGTGGTGCTGAGTAAGTACTTGCTGGGTGAACGAGTGGCGGGTGCCCTGGGACGCGGAGGAGCGGGCGCCGCGGGCGAGGAGAACCCCGGTTTCTAATGTCCCGCCTGGTTTCTGGCCCGTGTGAATGACCCCGGCTAACGAAACGCTAACCACCCCCACGCCCGCCAGTCCGGGTCCCCAGCCTTGCCAAACCGGGTCGGGTGTGCCAGTAACCACGGGTGACGCAGGGCAGCAGCCACTCCCCACGTGCCGAGCTTTCCCCTCAATGACCTGAAGAGAGTCACAAGAAAAAGACATAAGTCCCTCGAGTGATTTTAAAGTATTAGTAAGAAAACGAAACAATAAAGCTTTAGGCTTGAATGGGTTGACGGTGTTAGAAAATAAACCGAAAAGTAACTTCACTGAGAATTTAACAGCCACGCTTACCAGGGAACTTTGCAGTAAAAGTCCTATTTGCCTTCCCCGGAATTCTCGTGTTAAATGAAACATTCCCACAAAATCCTCACTGGGTTCTTAGGTCTGCCCTCCGGTCCTCTTACAGTCCCCAGAGTGTGCCCCTGGGCCGCAGCGTCATCTGCGTTCTGGTCCTTCTTCATTCAGCTCGCCCTGCCCCCCCGGCCCCTTCCTTCCATCCCCTCTCCCTAGAGTGGATGCTCTTGTGATTTCTGGGGAAGACAAACTCATAAACAAGCCCCCCACACACCCCCACAGGTCTAGCCCGCCGCCTCGGACCAAGCCCAGACCCTCCCCTTCCCTGCCGGAGGGATGGGCTAGCACAGACCCCTTCCCTGTGCCCTGCCCCGCAGCCCTGCCCACCTGGCATCTGCTAGCCGCCTCCCGGGGGTGCCCTTCCAGGTCACCGCTTCAGGGCTTTCTTGCAGCTTCTGCTTGGACCGTGGTGCCCCTTCACCTTAAAAGGCCCTTCGCTTTGACATGGCGAGACAGTCCCTTAGGTCAGCGTGAAAAGGATGTTGTATGTAAAACCTGTGAGCGTAAAACCGGCTGTTCTCATGGCAGGGCCTGCGGTGGGAATCCCAGCTTCACAGCTCACACAAACACGTCCAATGGAGCTGAACTCCCAAAGGGGACAGAAACCATAAAAGCCTAAGAAGACTTAAGAGACTCTTTATACAGCCTAGTATTTGTAAAGACCTTCTGATCAAGATTAAACACCCAAGAGCTATAAGAGAAATCATTAAAAAAATTAATCTGTATAAAAATTTAATTTTATGGCAGAAGATACTAAAAGTCAAAAGATAAATGCTAGATGAGCAGGTAAGTTCTGTGATGTCGTCAACGTGGAGTCACTGCTACTGATAACCATACGCGTGTCCGATCACGCACAACCCAGTTTTTACAAATGTAAACGGGCCATCCCGGGAAAGCAATTCCGAACAGGCGATAAGGCACACGAGGCCCCCGCCCCCGGTAGAGAAACGAGCGCAAACCCACCGCGGGGTGGCACGTGGGCAGGCTGGCAGCACCTTACGGAAGCAGACACTTGGGCAGGACTGGGAGGAAAGGGCCGTGCCCTGGTGTGAACCCCCATGCTCACAGGCAGGTGAGGCTCCCCGCTCCTGGCTGGCACCCCCTCTTGCTCCTGCCTCTCCTGGCTGCTGCCTTCCCGGAGGCCTTGACCTCACCCCGCTCTGGCCCTGGCCCTGCTGTGCCCACAGCCCAGCGCGCCTGCCTGTCTGATTCCAGTCTTGGTTCCGAGGGAGGAAGCCGACCAGGCGGCCTGACTGGAGCGGTCCGTCCCAGGGCCCCCACCTCCTGCACCCCAGACCCCTCAACCTGCTCCACTTCTCCTTCCTACCTCCTTGCAGCCTCTTCTGTGGGCCCATGTGATCTGGTTGTGTGAGGTCTGTCGTTTCTCTCTCTCCTGGGCAGAACAGAAGCTCCACGAGGCCAGGACTCTGGTTTGCCTGGTGATGTGGGCCGAACCCCTGAAGCGGCCTGGCACGGCAGGCACCCCGGGCCTTTCCAGATGCAAAAGTAGATGAGTGAGCGAGAGCAAGAGAGTGATGAGTGTGTTGTAACAGGAAGAAAATCACATTTTGATGAAAAAGTTATTAATGTATTCTATTTTATTTTTTTAAAGATTGATTGATTGATTTATACAAGCACTGGGCACAGTCAGAAGCGCAGGAGGGTGAGAGAATTCACCAGAGCCAGAGCGGGGAGCAGAGCAGGCAGAAGGACCGAAGGACACTGCTGAGGGGAGCAGCGGGCGGCAGGAGAGGTCTGCGCGCCATGGGGGACCCTCCTCCGGTGGCCGGGGAGGAGCCGGGGATCGAACCGGTGCTGCAGAGGCTGTGGGCAGCTTCGCAACCCAGCGCTCAACCGCTGCGCCACCGGGGAGGCCCTGTATTTTACATTTTAAAGGAGAAAAAAGTAATTTACACTGGAGGTCCGAAATGTAGATTTCAAGTGAAGCTACGGCAAGACCCAGAAAGATGACTTCTGGCCAGGAGAGAATCTAAATATCTTTAAATGAAAAATCATGTTGGAATCGTGCTCCATACCTCACTTAAAATTGTACTCAACACCCCCCTACCCCGCACCCCCAGCGAGGAGCCGCCTGCCCACCCACTGCTGGCCTCCCCTGGCCTCGCCGCCTGCCCCGCAGGATGTCAGTCCTGACCTCCGCCCGGCCCTTCCTTCCTTGGGGTGTCTGGGGGGCCTGGGCCTTCGGCTCCCGACCCCCACTTCCCCCGCGGGCCTCTCCTCCGCTCTCACGCCCGGAGCCTCCAGTGGAGAGTTCGCAGGTGACCCCTCACCCTCAGGCCTGGGCCAGCCTCCCGCCTCCGGGCCTGCCCCTGCGAGTCCGCCCCGGCCCCTCCCAGCGCTTTGCTGTTCTTGGTCCTTTTCCTTCAGCGTCGAGCTTCAGCGTCTTGTTCTGCAAAAGCACTTTCGGGGTTCTGGTTGAGATGATGTTGAATCTGACATCAGTTTAAAAAAATCGACGTCTCGGGGACTGAGTTTTCAGATCTCCTGTCCCTGCATCTATTTAGGCTCTTTAACTGCCTTGAAGTGAATGGACGGCATTCTCTTTCGTGGGCATCTTGCCCATTTTGGGAGCTTTAGACTTACCTGGTGATTGAGTCTTGATAGTCTAATTGTCGGCTGGCGCTGCCTGTGAGGACAGGTGGTTTCTGTGTGTTGTGATGTTAAACTCAGAGACCTTCGGACCCCCTTGCTGATAGAGACGGCTCTTCGCAGGCTCTTCGCAGGCCTCGTGTCTTCCTTTCCAGTCTTCTCCTCCCCTCCCCTCCCCTCGCTGCTCCTGTTGGCTGCGCACACAGGATGAGGCCGAGGAGGAGAGATCGCAGGGGTCCTCGACTTTCCTGACTGATCTTAAAGAGAAGACTTGCAGCTTCCCCGCATTATGACTTGCTGACGGTTGGGGGCAGATCCACTTAGATGGAAATGTTCCTGGTCATTTTAATTTGCTGGGTGGACGGCAAGTTGTGTCACGTTGCTGCACCTACCGAGATTGTCCTTTCTTCTGCCACGTGTGTGATTTTGTGAGTGTTTTTCCAGCATCCGGAGCTTCTTGCTCCTGGAACACCCCATCTGACTGACGGCGCCCCCGGAAGGCGCTCCCGCGGGGTCCAGCGCCTGCGCGTCATGGCGTGAGTGCAACTGGCCGCCTCTTTTCCTCAAAGTGGTCTTGCCGGAGGCTTCATCAGAAACGTCGTCCCATCCAGTGTGGTGGGAAGTGTGCTTTCCTTTGTTTTCCTGGCGAGCATTTGTCTGAGCTTGGATTCCTTCTCCCTTGACCACGGGCTCAGATTTGCTGCGGCCTGTGCCTGGCCCCGCCGCCCGCCTCCTGGTGGCCGTGTCGCTGTTCCGCGTTCCCGAGAATTCCCGCCCAGCGCCGGCGCTGCTGGGGTAGAGGTGTGTGCGCCGCCCTCCCCGGGACCTGCGGCGGCCGGGGGCCGCCCCTTCCTTAGCCTCCTGTCTCCTCCTGACCGGCTCCCAGAGGCCGCCGCCCTTCTGGGCAACAGTCCAACTGCTGGTTTTGTTCATTTTCTCCGGTTAGTTTTCATTTCCACTGCTGCCTGGCCTCTGTCATGTTCTTTCTTCTGTGCTCCAGGCTGTGCTGGCTGAGGAGGGCGCTTAGCTCGTCTGGTTGCCAGTCTTCTGGCTTTTCTGAGGTGTGTGTTTAAGCCCCTGCATTTCCCTCTGGTAGACCTGGCCAGCGCCGCACCGAATCTGAAGAGTAGACTATTCATTCCTCCGTTCTCATTTACGCTGTTTGCTAGTTTTCATTTGATTTGGTTGTGAAGACAGGCTTATTTAGAATGGGTTGTAAATTTTACCAGATCGGGTGCTCGTGGCCTTCTAGCCGCAGCCCCTGCCTCGGCTGTGCTGGCCGGAGAGCGGGGCTGCTGCCTGCACACCCAGGCAGGTCGCTCTTGTGCAGTGTCCGTAGCACCTGAAAGCATTTGGACGCTGCAGTTTGGGAGTATGACTTCAGCGTATCTCTTTAGGTCAGTTTTTAGATGCATTGACTGAAGAGCTTTTGTTGCTTTTAAACTGCTGGAGCAGTCGTCGGCTGGGTTCCTGCCTTCCCTGGGGCCTGCCGTCCTCCAGTCTGTCAGGTTCTGTGACAAGTGATAGGATGACCCTTCGCTGTAAAGCTTAGACCCCCCCTTACTAAAGTCTGCAATGAGCGTCTGCAGAAATTCTAATACCAGTCAGCATTCAGCGTGCTCTGGAGATCGCATCTGAGCATCCACGATTTCATCCCCGCGTAGCTCCCGAGTGAAAGGAGAATATGAGCTGTGGCTGGCAGGAGAGAAGTAGAATTCTGTTTTTTCAGAAAATACGATCCCATATAGGAAAGACTCCAGACTTAGTGATCAAGATAGTAGAATAGGAAACCAGACTATCGTATTTAAAAAGGGATATAAGCTGAATAGATAATAAAATTTATAGAAAAAAGCGCTCGTTCCTAAGGCACTCAAATGGTGGCGACAACTGGATTTCTTCCCCCAAGCCCGGCAACCACGGCACGGTGTTCCAGATAGGTGCTTCAGAGAGGTGAAAAACAAAGACATTAAAAGAAAATAAAACCTTTGTGACCTCAAGGAAGAGAGGGTCAACAGGACAGAACAGAAAACACTGACAAATGTGTGATACTTAATTTTTCAAATGTTTTAAAAGACATGATAAATCTAAGAGGGGGTGGGATAAAGTATTTGCAATGACAGTAGACATGGCGTTAGCATCCCAAACATTTAAAGGATATTTACAAATCAGTAGGAAAAGAAAATGTAGTTAAAAAAGCGAGCAAAGGCTAGAACGGGTCATTCACAAAACTGAAAGCCAAAAGTCCAAAAGGGGGTCACTCGCCAATAAGCAGGTTAAGAACGGGGTCGGTGTAAAGGGAGGAGACTTGTCTACCAACCAAGTCACCGGCAACTCCAGTCGGGCGCGGGGGTGGCGGAGGGCGCGGGGAGCAGACTCCACTCTGCCCGTGTGTGTGCGCATCAGGAAATCCCCGGGGGAAGCAACTTGCCATTGCCTAATAAAGCACAGAAAGTAAAAATCATCTAAAAAGAACACATCCAGATATCTACCCTAGATAAATTCTTACATGTAATCACAAGGACATGTGTAAGTGGTTTTTAATGTGGCGTTGTTTATAATACAACCCCGGGAGGGATCTAAATACCCACACGTAGGGCGCTGGGCTAGTGACATCGGGGACACGCGGTACAGGTGTGTGGATGGATGTGTGACTATATCTTGAAACCTAATGTTGACTTTAATAACTGCAAAATCCTAGCACACTTGGTATAAAGTCCTCTCTAGAGACAGCAGGTTCGCCGAGCGCCGGGCCGAGTGGCAGTGGCTGCGTGGCACACGCGCACCGAGACGGCCTCCCGTGGGAAAGGCACCACTCTGGGGACCGCCGGTCCAGGGGCTGCAGAGTAGGCCTGGGTTTAGCAGTTGGGTCCGAACGGGACTTCCACGGTCGCTGAGGTGTTTGTTTATTGTATGTAAAAGTACTTGAACTGGAGTAAGGCCCAGCAGGCTGACTTTAATCACTAATGTGCAACGTGACACTGGTGGTTCTAGGCAGGGCAAGAAAAAGAAATAAAAGGCATTCAGATTGAAAGGGAAGATATTAAACTATTGACAGAAGGCACCATTGTGTATCTAGAAAACCTAAAGGAACCCCTAGAAGAAAACCACGCATAAACAAGCCCAGCGAGATTGCAGGCTGCGAGTCAGCCCACCAAGGCAAGCCGACGTGCGTGCAG